GCCTGCACTTAAACACAATCAGCACTGACAAAATTACCATCTGCCAGCTGCAGAAAGCCACCTTACTGGGATTTGCACACATTAATTACAAGCCCCAGAATCCCCAAACTCTTCCTTCCAACTGTACAGAATGTCTCAGGGAACAGAGATGCCTTTTTCCAGGCTAAGGTGAACCTATCATGGGTTGTTTTGTGGCTGAGAGAGTGTGACTCAGCCAAGGACATTCACAGCAGAGCAAGAATTCAAGCCCAGGGTTTCAGAGTGATAGCTCAATGCTCAAGCCACTAACTCACCCTCATTTTTGATTATATAGTACGTCCGTCATGCCTGTCATGCAATTTAATGGCACCTGACAAATATATTTATTATTTATTATTATTTTAAACATTTATATTCCGCCCTTCTTATTGAAAAGGAGACTCAGGGCAGAGCACAGCATATATGTGGCAAACATTAAATGCCAGGACAAGAATTCATTGTATGCAAACATAAATATTAAAAACATTGTATTGTCGAAGGCTTTCATGGCCGGAATCACTGGGTTGTTGTAGGTTTTTTCGGGCTATATGGCCATGTTCTAGAGGCATTCTCTCCTTAAAAACATTTATCTCAATATTAAAATATACTGTCCTCTGGAGGCATTTTTGCCATCCTCCAAGTGATTCTATGGTGTGATTCCATCAGAAACTGTGCATAGTTGTACTAGAGGAATTATTATATGCCTAATGAGATGTCATCCCAAGGTCCTCCAGTGCAACTCTATAGCATTCTTCCACTCAAAGTGCTTTGCTGTGCTGGGCTTTAGCATAGCTGGTAAATCACCAGCAATTATAAGATCTATCAACCGAAAGGTTGCCAGTTCGAAGCCCCAGGTTGGCGTGAGCTCCCGACTGTCAGCCCAGCTTACTGTTTACCTAAGCAATTGGAAAACAGCTTGAGGTGTAAGTAGAGAAATTAGATGCTGCTAAAAAAAAGTGGGGGAGGTATTTTACGACACCATAAAGAAAATTCCCAGTGACCAAAAGGAAGGAGGAAGCCCTGATCGCTCTTTGTCATAGAGGATGGAGCGACAGTACCCCCCTGTGGCTGGATTCGAGCACAACCTTCCAAGGCACCAAAAAGCTGAACATCAACACAACACACCTCCTTTCTGTTCTGCCTATCTCTGTCCTATCTATTCAAAAATGGCATTGAATGTTTGGCCCATATGTGTACTGTGATTCGCCCTGTATGTTGTTGTTGTTGTTGTTGTGTATCCAGAAATGTTTCCTTTGGATACAGGAAGTTGTACTGACCGCATCTCTGTGTTCGAACCCACACGATCTCTTCATTCATCTGGAGAGTCCCTACTCACGATCCCACCTGCATCGCAAGCGCGATTGGTGGGGACGAGGGATAGGGCTTTCTCAGTGGTGGCCCCTCAACTCTGGAACTCTCTCCCTAAGGACATCAGGCACGCCCCATCGCTGGCAATTTTTAGGAGGAGCTTGAAAACGTGGTTGTCCTAGTGTGCCGTCCCAGAATAAGGAAACTCCAAGCATTTTGTCCCCAATGCACTTTATCAGAGATTCAGGATATCTGCAAACCCATCCCTCTCCAAACACCTACCCTTTTCTCCTGGTCATGCCCAGCACTTTTTAATTTTAATTATTGCATTTGGCCCTGCCATAGTTTTTAATTGCGTCATTGTGTGTTGCCAATGTTATTGCTTTGCTTTTGATTTATTTTGCTGTATTGTTGTTGTTGTTTTTGTTGTTGTTTTATTGTTGTATTTGGGCTCGGCCTCTTGTAAGCCGCACCGAGTCCTTCGGGAGATGGTAGCGGGGTACAAATAAAGGTATTATTATTATTATTATTATTATTATTATTATTATTACTGTTCTTTGAGTCAAATGTAAACAAACAAAGCTTTGGACAAAGTGAATTATGGATACGTCTTGAAAAGGAACACTTCCAAATCAGTTAGACATCGGATAAGGCCTTACTTTTGGATGTCAGGATGTTTTTCCTTACCCACTTCTAGTATGAGTTTGGGGACTCGGAAGGAAGGTTTGGTTTCCTCTTCTTGTCTTTCTTCAGCAAAGTTTCCCCGAACGAGCCCCAAAAGTCCCGAAGAGAACACAGAAATCAGTTTCCACCCCAAAACCAGATGGGGACCCCCTTTGAATCCCACCCTGAATATTGTGCGCCGGCTCCTTGCAGGGCGGCCTGCCGAGGAAAGGAATGTCAAGCTGCGATTTTGGATAATTTCCCCACATTCCAGGTCTATTAGCTCAAGCGAAAACCCTGAAGCCAAAGCGTCTGGACGTTTTGAGGGCAACCTGAGGCCTTGCAAAAAAGAGCATCAGAAAAAGGCTAGATTTAGGGGTGATACGGATCAGACAAGTGAATGGATCAAGAGAGAGGCTCGGTGAAGAGAAGACGGCAGATGTGCAAATGTTTTCCAGTATCTTTGCTGACTCTGTGAGTCGCCTTGCATGCCGGGATCAGTCATGGCTCTGGAGGGCTGGCCCTTTGGGAGGTTGGGTTTCCTTCCTCCAATTCCACAGGGAAGGAGAGGGAAAAGCAGCGTGACTACCCCAAAATGAAGAATCAGCATTTCTCTCCCTTCCCTCCCCTTTTCTGTTTCTTGCAAAAGGCAAAAACAGAGCACAGGAAATATATACCGCACTCGGTCAGCTGGAGCTGCAAATCTTACCACTAGAGATGCATCTACACCAAGCATGGGCAAACTTTGACCTTCCAGGTGTTTTGGACTTCCTACCAGCTGTTAGGAATGGTGGGAGTTGAAGTCCAAAACACCTGGAAGGTCAAAGTTTGACCATGCCTGATCTACACTATACGAAAGTTGAATGAAAAGTAATGCCTCCACCTTCATAACTCCTCAACAGATGGCAGTACTGGTATGCAGCAGGTACTGGCTTGTTCAGTAGACTCTCCTCTACAGTTCCATTTTTGCGGGAAGCTTAACATTGACCATAGGAGCCCCCCATGGCGCAGTGGGTTAAAGCCCTGTGCCGGCAGGACTGAAGACCGACAGGTCGCAGGTTCGAATCCGGGGAGAGGCGGATGAGCTCCCTCTATCAGCTCCAGCTCCTCATGCGGGGACATGAGAGAAGCCTCCCACAAAGATGATAAAACATCAAATCATCTGGGCATCCCCTGGGCAACGTCCTTGCAGACAGCCAATTCTCTCACAACAGGAGCGACTTGCAGTTCCTCAGGTCGCTCCTGACACGACAAAAAAAAACATTGACCATTTGTGTAGTTAAAATGCGAAGTATGGAACCCTTCCCAGACGGTCGGTCAATGCAACTTAAGCAATGTGCAGTCATTGAATTATTGACAGTAGAAGGTGTCACCCCAAAGGAGTGTCATCAGAGAATGCAAGCTGTTTATGGTGATTGTATTGATGTGAGTACTGTGCATCATTGGGCGAGTAAATTTAAAGATGATGAGGTAGGAACCTCTGACTTGCATGACAAACAAAGAATTGGACGTGCCTCTGTAGACTTGTCCACAGCTGCATGGCATATGGTAGACTCCTGCAGAAGTGAGGGGATCCCTCTTGTCCTTTGGTGAACAGAGCATTTATTGGAATTTTTTGGTGGGTCTGTAGATAGTTTGTAGGTTGTGTTTCTTCATGAGCTTCCCTATACAGTCAGTGGTTGCCTTGATGTATAGCAGTGGTGAGGCCCCTTTATAAAGTTCCTCATGTTGTGGTGACCCCCAACCATAACCATAACATTATTTTCGTTGCGACTTCATAACTGTCATTTTGCTGCTGTTATGAATCATCATGTAAATATCGGATATGCAGGATGTATTTTCATTCACTGGACCACATTTGGCACAAATACTCAATACGCCCAAATCTGAATACTGGTGGGATTTGGGGGGATGATTTTGTCATTTGGGAGTTGTAGTTGCTAGGATTGACAGTTCCCCTACAATCAGAGAGCATTCTGAATTCCACCAATGATGGAATCGAACCAAACTTGGCACACAGAACTCCCATAACCAACAGAAAATACTGGAAGGATTTGGTGTGCATTGACCTTGAGTTTTGGAGTTGTAGTTCACTTACATCCAGAGAGCACTGTGGACTCAAACAATAATGGATCTGGACCAAACGTGGCACAAATACTCAGTATGCCCAAATGTGAACACTGGTGGAGTTTGGGAAAATAGACCTTGACATTTGGGAGTTGTAGTTCCTGGGATTTGTAGTTTTCTGAACCCCACCAACAATAGAATTGAGCCAAACTTCCCACACAGAACCCCCATGACCAACAGAAAATACTGTGGTGACCCATCTGAAACCCCCTCACAACACCCCCAGGGGTCCTGACCCCCAGGTTGAGAAACACTGATGTATAGTAAGACACTTTTTTTCTGGTTTGCCCATGCCTGGTGTAGATGCTCCATTGATGACCCACACTATGAATCTGTAACCTCTGCAGGCCTCATGGAGATGGAGCGCCCTGTCTACCTCTTCCTCTTCGTCCTCTCTCTGGTCGAGGACTCTGCTCCTATTGAAGACAACAAGATCCCCAGCCTGTGTGCCGGGCATCCGGGCATCCCAGGGACCCCTGGTCTCCATGGCACGCAAGGACTCCCAGGAAGAGATGGGCGAGACGGACGTGATGGAGCTGCCGGGATGCAAGGGGAAAGAGGCGAACCCGGGCAACCAGGTGAGACATTTTGGAGCTTGGTCCATCTGGCTCTTAGGGGAACATCTGGCTCTTAGGGGAAATCCATTCTGGGGAATCAACACCACTTTCACTGCCATGGCACTATGCTATGAAATCCTGGGAGCTGTAGTTTTACAAGGTCTTGAGCCTCCTCTGACAAAGAGTGCTGGTGCCTCACCAACCTACCAATCCCAACAACCTGTAATTCCATAACATTGAGCCATGGCATACGTAATTTGCACACAAAATAACATACCTGTATTTAAAATTTCCATTTTGTATTTTATGTGTAACACTAGCAGTACACACCACGCGTTGCTGTGGCCAACCTTCCCTCCCTCTTTCACTCCTTCTTTCTTTCTCTCCTTCTTTCTTTCTCTCCTTCCTTCCTTCCTATTGATTTTGGCCTGCATCAATAGGAGCATAGTGTCTAGATCTAGGGAAGTAATGCTACCCTTCTATTCTGCTTTGGTTAGACCACACCTGGAATATTGTGTCCAATTCTGGGCACCACAATTCAAGAGAGATATTGACAAGCTGGAATGTGTCCAGAGGAGGGCGACTAAAATGATCAAGGTCTAGGAGAACAAGCCCTATGAGGAGCGGCTTAAGGAGCTGGGCATGTTTAGCCTGAAGAAGAGAAGGCTGAGAGGAGATATGATAGCCATGTATAAATATGTGAGAGGAAGCCACAGGGAGGAGGGAGCAGCTTGTTTTCTGCTTCCCTGGAGACTAGGATGTGGAACAATGGCTTCAAACTACAAGAGAGGAGATTCCATCTGAACATGAGGAAGAACTTCCTTACTGTGAGAGCCGTTCAGCAGTGGAACTCTCTGCCCCAGAGTGTGGTGGAGGCTCATTCTATGGAGGTTTTTAAGCAGAGGCTGAATGGCCATCTGTCAGGGGTGATTTGAATGCAATATTCCTGCTTCTTGGCAGAATGGGGTTGGACTGGATGGCCCATCAGGTCTCTTCCAACTCTAGGATTCTATGATTCCCTGCTTTGTTCAGTTTTACCAGTGGTGTCAGGGCCTTCGCGGTGCGTTTTCCTTACGCTATCGGTGTCGGCCTCCCACTGCCTTTTGCTTTGGTGCCATCTTACCTTATAGCGGATCATTCTTTCCTTCCTTCCGCTCACTTCTTTCGCACCTTTTTTTCTTCCTCTCCTGCCATCATTTTTCCTTCCTTCTTTTACTTTTTTATTTCCGTCTCTCCGTCCTTGTCTCACTGCCGGTCGCGACTTGATATGGGTGGCGGGCCGGCCGGCGCGCCGTCCCTCCGGCTGGCCCGCTGTCGCGCCGGGCGGCCGGCCCTTTCTGGGTATGTGTTGGGGGGGGGCAGAGGGGCGGTAGATGGTTGGAGCAGGGCAGAGATGGGGGGGGGTGAGTATGTGGTGTGTGTGGCGGCGTTATACTGGATAGGGTGGGTTTTTTGCGTGAGGCCGGCGGCGTGTGTGTTGGGTTCAACAGGGTAGGGGGGTGGCGCCTGGTGGCCGGAGACAGGTAGCGGGATGTCCAAACGGGTGTCAAGGGCTTCCGGGGGGGGGAGAGGTGAGGTAAATCCCACAAAGGACAGGGCATGGGTTTAAGGTGTTGGTCAGGGGTGCATTCTGGTCAGTCGTCGCCGACGCTTCGGGACCGCATGGACAGCCCACCAGAGCGTCGGCGGCGGTACCACCCCCGCGCCCTCAGGTCCGGTCCAGTCATCTGCAAGGATGCCACCACAGGATCGTGCGTGCACCGTGGCGCCTCGGCCTGTGGCCCGGCCACCTTGCCCCACATAGTTGTGCTTCGCGAAGGCGTTCCTGTCCCCTCATGTGTGCAAAGTATAGCCACGGGGGGGGGGCCGAGGAGGCCTCCAATGAGCTTTAGTCGGGCTTTATTTCCTGGAGGATGGACTGGTTGGATCTTCTCGCAGTCCAAGGCACTCTCAGAACTTTCCTCCAACACCACAGCTCAAAAGCATCTCTCTTCCTTCGCTCAGCCTTCCCTAAGGTCCACCTCTCACATCGGTAGGTGACTACAGGGAAGACCATGGCTTTGACTAGGCAGTGGATCTTTGTTGCCAGTCTGATGTCTCTACTCTTTACTATTTTATCGAGACTGGACATTGCTCTCCTCCCAAGAAGTAAGCGTCTTCTGATTTCCTGGCCACAGTCTGCATCTGCAGTAATCTTTGCACCTAGAACTACAAAGTCTGTCACGGTCTCCACATTTTCTCCCTCTATTTTCCAGTTGTCAATCATTCTTGTTGCCATAATCTTGGTTTTTTTGATGTTTAGCTGCAACCCGGCTTTTGCGCTTTCTTCTTTCACCTTGATTAGAAGGCTCCTCAGCACCTCCTCGCTTTCGGCCATCAGAGTGGTGTCATCTGCATATCTGAGGTTGTTAATCTTTCTTCCAGCAATTTTCACCCCAGCTTTGCATTCATCAAGCCCCGCACATTGCATGATGTGTTCTGCATACAAGTTAAAAAGGTTGGGTGTAGCGGTCAGCGGAAAAGAATAATTATAAAAATATATTTAAAAATGAATATAGGAAAACTTACCTGGAAATATTAGCGAAGGAGTGTTTACGGCAGGGAGAAGCAAAATGTTCCATGGACGAAAGTAAGGGTATAGGCTTCATGGAGGCAGGAAAGCTAAATATTAACTGGAACATGACATTTGGGAAACAATAATAAAGTGAGATGTTTATCATCAAGGGAATGTTTCTGGCAACCAGACAAGGACGCTTGTGTAGATAACTGATCTAAGGCTGGAAAAGGTCAGAGCAACATCTGGTGGTTCAGTGAGGTAAATAGCAGGTAACTTCAGATATATTATGAATATGGGAATAATTAAGATTTGAAACAATTATAAGTACGTCAATATAATATGTCATTGTGATGTATGGGAAAAGGTAATGCGAAATACCTCTGTTAATGTTTATATCTGTGTAAATGTCATGGCAATTGTGCGCATGTCTGAACTAGTGAATTTTGCTATAAATATTGTAAGCTAACTGACTTCTAGTACGCTTCAGATCATGCGTCTGAGCGTCCTATCATGATAGTAAATATGCCTGGAATCAAATTTGCAGTCTCCGTCTCCTTTCTGCTTGATTGTGCTCTAAAATGATCCCGGGTAGCAAATCTGCCGCGACAAATGGGGGCTCGTCCGGGATCGGAGCCAACAAGAGGAATAGAGACGAAACCTTTTGAGGGTTTGATTGCCCCACTCAGCGGGTCGGGTAAGACGATGATCAGAAGGGGCGATACGGGTACCCATTGAGAGAAAACGACCCGGCTGATCTTCGCCTTCCCTGCCTCCAGACTGGGGTACATTGAGAAATTAATAGCTTTGATTCCATGGCACAGGTAAAGGAAAAGGCCTTAAAAAGGGGTACATGGGAAGTACCTGGGGAATATTTCACTGTGAGATTACTGCAGAAATCAAGTGAAAACCCCCCGAGTGATTGTTTTCGCTACAGAAATCACACTCACAGGTTGGAGGAATACCCTTTCAGGGGGAAAGTGATAAGTCTGTTTTATGTTTTGTGGTTGTCTTGGTTAATGGTGTTTGTGTTCATATGTTTTACCCCTTCTTGCACACATTTGTGTATCAATGCCTGTTTTTGTTGTGGAGATGTGTATAATGAAAAGAGACAAATGGTTTCAGGCTTCCGGGAAAAAGCCAAGATGGAAAAGAAAAAGAAAAATGAAAAATGAGAAAAATGAGAGAAAAAAGGAAACGCTACGTACAATGTGATGAAATGGTGCCTGTCTTTTGGGACAAGGAAAAATGTTCGTTTACATTTTCTGGACAACTTGAATGTATGTGGATGGCTAGCCAAAAAGGAATGTGTGGAAACTGTTTGTGTTGGGGAAAAAAATATAATCTTTACAGGTTTCAAATAAAAAGAAAAAGAGGATAAATTCAGGAAAATACACATGATGATGGAAAATGCCAAGTCTATATGTTTTCATGTGGGTAAGCAAAACCAAGAAGAAAATTAAAAGGTATGTGAAGAAGGTATGTGTAGGGAAAAGCAAGTCAGAATAAGAGAATAGGGTTAATACGGGAGAAAAACCAAGATGTGTAATTGCCTAGGACAAGGTAGAATTGAAAGGAGAAATGTAGCCAGAGAATATAGAGAAAGTGATACAGTAGGTGATGAAATAATAGGAAGAGAAATGTAAAGATCTAGCATGTGCTTAATAATAGAAACCTGAAATATTGAGATGTGAATGAATAGATTCCCTTTTTGAAAGTTTAGATAAATGTGTGGAAATATTGCAGTTTAGAATAAGTGAATGCATGTATGAAGACAGATTTGGATGCATCAAGACTGTTATGTGAGGTTGATTATGTTTAATTATATGTTTAAGCATTTGATGGGTAAAAAGAGAAAATAATGTGTTTGACAGATGCGCTAAGATTTCTAGAAGGGCTGACAACCATTGAAGAACATGGGGAAAGAAAAAATGATACATTTTCAAAAACATTCATACATTTGAGATATATTTAAACATAGAAGATTTTGTGGGAAGAGCAGTGTATGATTGACATGTACACCCCTCTTAAAAGTCCAAAATGTCGGTAACTGATGTGATAGTATGCAGATAGTGGGTAATATGATGGAGTAAGGGATGACACATAAATCAATGTTTTTGGAATGTTATGATTTTTTTAGACTGTTACAGTACCCTCTGGTGTTGTTGGAAGACTCGAGTGGCCTGGGAGAATATTTGGAAGATGATCCCGTTATAAAAAAAAAATTGGAATAGGTCTATTGCTTTATGATGTCCTAATGCTATGAGAGGAAATTTGCCAATTAGCGATGAATTTAAGCCTACTTAAAAGAATCATACAGTGTACTGACCCTGACTTACAGTTAGTAGTTGTCAAACGGTATAAAGACTAATTACACTCACGTACATAAGATAAAGATATTTTCAAAGACTTAAAATATAAGAGGATAAAAGTGGCTCTGAATAAGAGAGAGAGCCAACATCTGTAA